CAGGGAATCATTTTATTTTTGATAAAAAAAAAAAAACAGGCAACACAACCTAGAAGCAACAATCAACAGGATGCTTGCACAACGCCATTGCGCAGCAGCAATGATGGTACCTATTTCGCACTTCAGCTTCTGGCCAGCTGCTACTACCGAGTGACAGAAACGCCTGCTCCTCTCTGCCACAAATCAGTTTTCCCACCTACGACAGTAAAAAGCCACATGGTTCCATAAAGCCCCATATTGATCCGAAAATGCTTTTCCTGAGAGAATTAATTTGTTTGACTCTAATTAATTTAGGCCTGAAAGCACACACATCCACAAAGCAGTGCCGCCGAGGAGAGACTGCCAGGTTAAAAGCTTTCAGAAACAAACCATTTCAACTGCATAGTTAGTAGAAATAATTTAAGTTGAAAGGTTTTTAAATTACTTATTTCACTGACTAAAAGCCCTTGTTCCAACTTCCCTCCATTGTGAGACAGGAAAAGGGCAAGTACCTCCCTGGAAGTCTGCAGTAAATATTATGGACACATTCATACAGCCACAGCCTCAGAGCAGCAACACCCAAAGTCTTTAGTAAGGATTAAAAATCATGGGGGACTACGTGGGGTTTGTTTATGCTTTTAGTTTGTTTTTGTTTGGTTGGTTTTTTCCAAAAAGCTGCACATATTTACGTTGCTTAAAACAGAAACCTTTAACCCAAGACCGATCTCGTTGTCATTGGCTACCTTCAGCTCTTTTTGCTGTACAGAGATTGTCACATCCCCTTTCTTTCACAGTCACTGGTGTATGGTAGTACTAGCTGTTCAGAGTCATGGCCAAGCCCTCTTTTCTTTGGGGTAGTGTCTGTTTGGGATTTTTTGTTTAATTTTGTGGGGGTTTTCTCCAGTCTTTAGTGATCCCTCAAACTGGTGGCCAGTAAGGAAACTCCTGTCCTGTTGCTCCCACCCTCTTCCCTCCTCCAAGTCCCTTGTGGTTGCTCCCAGCTCTACACAACACATTTTCCCAGGTTTCTTCTCCTCCCTTAGAAGGAGGACTCTCCCCCCAGGTAATCACTTTAGAAATAACATTTTCAGGACTACTCAGTCTTACTAGCCACATCCCTACTGTATCCCTTGGGAGCCCAGGAGGCTGCTAAGAGAGAGCGTTTTGAGTTCAGTTTGCCAAGGCCTGACCTCAGCTCAAGTTCTGCCTCTCTGAGGGTCTGATCTGTTAGAGCAGACCGCATTAGGGCTCTCTCCTAGGGTAACCTTAGGCCATCTTCCCTACCCGGGGTCAGTCTCAGGACAACACTGCAAGGGAAGACAGGATGGATGGTGACTGCTGAGCTATGCTCAGGGCAGTAAAACCATGGATACCATCAGAAAGCACTCGGCGAGTTGCCTCAGATCCAGCCAGCTGTCACAGACAGCAGTGAATCTGCTTGTAATGCTGCCCTGTGCAAGACCCACTCCCAGCTCGGGCACCAGGTGGTCTCTACAGCTCTGTCTCAACAGCAACGTTCTCCAGTTGCTTCAGCAGTAGCTCTAATAACACAAATCTTGCTGGGCAGCAAACACAACCCATTCCTAGTCTGACAGACTTTTCACTTAGAGGAGCAGCTTGGCTGTCCTTTTTCTCCTGCCTGCCTCTTCCCAGTCACCTTCCTCTAATTGCAACACGTTTCTGGTACCAACAGAGTCGGCCAGCACCAGGCCTAGTGATCCCAAGATTTCTCACTGCTTCCCTGCATACCTAAAAGACCCTGCCTGACAGGATTCACCACATTAAAACTCAGCTTTTGTCCCAGTAACAGGCTCTCATTCACACATAATCAAGAAATAAAAATACGAAGCCAATTCTTTGGACAGCATCCAATAAGCAACATACACCAGACCCTTCCCGATAATCAAGTAGAACCAGAACAAAGGCCCGCTCTCATTTAACTGAAATCAGCATCAGGTCACAATAAAGCTCAGAAAATGCTCATCTTGAGATATTGTGGGGCATGTAAATTAGCCAGAACTTCACAAAACAGCGTACAGGGGTGAGACTATACTGACAGTTACTGGTCTAGAACTCAGCTGTGGTAAACAATAGTCAGGAACTGGATCTTGCCAGCTCTTCACACTCATGGTCTGGATCTTAGGTTTTCAAGAGGCAGAACACACATACTGACAAATTATATGGCAATTTTCCCTCTTCAGGACAAGATTCAGATCTCATGGGGCAGACAGAGGTAGAACAGTAATCCAATACCTGTTTGACAGCCCTTTTCCTATTCAGGTATGATTTTTAAGGGTTCTTTGCCAATTACCAGTTACTTCATTTTAGGAGTGGAAGACGATGCTTTGAAACATCAGCTTCCCTGTCACCTCAAGCAGTATTTTGAGATACAACTACTGCAGAAGGCAGAGTCTCTGAAAGCAGAGATGCTCAAGTTTGTCGTGGCTCCAATTCAGCAGTCCTGCAGGCCCACGCTGGTTACTTTCAGACACCCTTGGGGGTGACAACACCATGCTTCCCAGGACTCTTGCTTCTGAGTAGCAGCTCAGGCACAGAGCTACCCAGTGCAGTCACCTCAGAGCGGTGCCAGAATAATACATCCGCTGGAGCACAAAGTGCTGAAGCATACAGTGCTGACACACTTACACAAACTAACGTCTAACTAAAATCAGAGTAAGATTAAGCCAAACCCCTAGTTTGGGAAAAGTTACCCACCCCAACTGAAGCAACAACACAGAGATGAGCAGTGCTTATTTTAAGCACCTCTCTTGCTCTGTCCCACTTCTGCTGTCTGTAGGCTACATACCTCACAGCACATATCTTCACCACTTCAACCCTTCCTCCTTCTCCTACCTCACGACCGTACAACTTGCACTTCTTGGCCAACCTCACTCTGAAGGAAATCAGCAAGTTCCCCAGGCGCTGCATGTAGCCTAGAACAGAGCCGCGCTCTTCCAGAGAGGCCAAGTGAGTGCTCAGCTCAAATTTGCAAAACACCAGCTGGAAATCCCCGTGAGCCTACGAACAGAGCTGCTCTGGCCATGGCTAAGCACGGTAAGGAGGACTTGCTGGTGTACCTACAGTAATAAAGCTTAACTGGTGAATCCTAGGCCTCATGTGTAAGGGCCAACAAAACACATGCAGGCAAAAGCTCCATCTTAAAGAATGGAAATTCTAAGCCCCAGTCTGAAAGAGGAAAAAAGCAAGTAGTACAGTACTACTACCTGGAATAGCTCTGAAGCTACATGCAGGGGACCTACTGCATGAGCCAGCATTCCCACACATACAGCAAGTCTGAAGCTGCAAGCGGACACTGTGCACTCAGCAGCCACATCTACAGCAGCTATACAGGCTGAGGAACATCCTTGGGCGGTGGAAATCATAAGCCCTGGCGTCATTTTGGCCTGTGACCACTATCATGTTCTCAGACAATTCCTGGGACTCTTCAAGGCCGTTCCCAGGAGGCAGCCTGCATGGAGCTGTGCTGTCGCTGCACCGTCACCCGCAACCCTTGCCATCAGGCGAGAACAAGAGTTCAGTAGTCTGGACAAAATTACTACGCACCAGTCTGCTTTGGTGCAAGAGAACACACCGGAACATTTAACTTTCTACCACAGCTTTGGCTTCACTGCCTAGATTTTGTGTAGGCACAGACAGTGCCATTGCAATAGCTTGAATTTATGCAACATCAGGAGTCTAGAAACCTCCAGATTCTTGGGCAGAAAGGTACGTGTGGGGTGGGAGGCAGAGCACAAAGGTAAGATTAGAAGCCTTGCAAACTAACCATCATTTCCAACATTCATTCCCAACACACTCTAGGTAACTGCAAAATGTGCCCGTGAAGAAGATCCACCACCTCAGGAGATCCCCTGAATCCGTAACCAGCCATACCTGTAAGGATGTTCTTGAACGCTTCTTCTACATTTGTTGAATCCAGAGCGGACGTTTCAATAAAAGATAAGTTATTTTTTTCTGTAATAAATAACAAGTGGTTCCAGTTAAAAACTTTAATAGCACTTTATTTCACCTTTACTTTGAGGTTTTCACCTTTATTTTTAGGCCAAATCAGCCAGGGGACAGGTTTGGGTTTTTTTTTCCCCTGTTACACTAGGAACAACTTGGTGCACCATTTATTTAGGTGCTAATGTTTCAGCGGTGTCACCTTTGACCACTGCCTTTCCACAGCGTAAGAATATTTTCCTCACTGCAGCCCTTGTTCAGTCAAGCAATACAATATTATTCTCACCCAGCTACAGATCACACCTTGAAGTGCCTTGTGCAGGAGCACAGGCAAAAGCATGTTGGCTGCAACAGAAGTCTTGATTCTCCACTGCAACCCCAAAAAGATAAATGTTCCTAAGCAGACCCCGCCTCCATGTTACAATAGAACCCCTAGGAATACAGGCTATTTTCTTCTTTCCTCTTACAATGCAAGACATGTATATTTTTTATTTTTAAAAAAAAAAAAAAAAGATTGTGATTAACACCCAAACATCACACCTAGAATGGCACTGTACCACCCGCCCAGAAACAGGCAAATTTCAGACACAGAGCTTAAATGGCAACGCCTGTCCCATCCATCACTAGCTATTTAACACATTCTTAGTAAGAAGCCAGGGGCAAAAAATAAGGTGTTGAATGCAGTGACCCAAGCAAGGCACTATCCAGGATACCCGCTAACTGGTTTTGCTTCTCTTCTATAGACTTCGCTTCTCATTCATCTGAAAATTTAAAGTGCCAACCACAGGGTACTTGCTCCCTAGCACGCTTCTGAAAACATGTTTAAACAAGCCCTAGTAATATTCCTAGAAGGATTTTAAAGACTAATCATTTAAATTGCACCTCCAAGCTCGACAGCCACACAGAGTAAGCTGAACGTCCCTCAGGCCTATAAGGGCAAAAGAGTATTTGACCAGTGCTCTGCAAGATAAGGAAGAGACACGAGTAATGCAGTGGCAGCAGCTCACACAACCCACTTAACTTCTCCCAACAACTCATAATCTCCAAGTCTGATGATCACTGCATTTAAAGGAAATTAGATGACACTGCTATATGCACCAGTGCTCTGGAGCAGGAGCTACACCACCTAAGAGAAGGTTCACTTGCAGCTGTCCCCATTGCTGCGTACTCAGTAAAACCAGGCCTCTAGGAAGGAAGGAAAGACATTCCGTGTTGTGATATTTTGTATTTATGTTGTGACATTTTAGCTTCTACATGTTGATAGTGTTTCTAGAACACGCTGTTTCTAGCCTTGCTAGAGGAAGTGTTTAATCTTCAGCTATCAGGCAGCTCAAGGACAGTGTTTCAAAAACACGTACTACCACCAGATTTTTAAAAAAACAAAAAGACACAACAAAACCCACCAAAATCAAACCCACCAGCCACACACACTATTTAACAAGCATAGATATTTTCACTTTTAAAAAAATCTTGCATGCTTCTTTTAGGGTCAAAAAGAAAACTTGAGGTAAAAGTTCAGTCTTGGACAACAAGAGCGCGATTACAGCTTGCACCAACATCACCAAGAGTCACCAAGCCAGAACACACACTGTCTACAAACCTGCAAAAGCCCGGGCCTCATCGGTGGGGACAGCTCTCAGATGGCGGAGGTCACTCTTGTTACCCACCAGCATGATGACAATATTGTTGTCCGCATGATCCCTAAGCTCCTTTAGCCAGCGCTCCACGTTCTCATAGGTGAGGTGTTTGGCAATGTCATAGACCAGCAGAGCCCCAACAGCACCGCGGTAATACCTGAAACCAGAAGGCACATTCCTTTAGAGAGCTCTGCCCAAGGCATCCCAACGGACCTGGCGCCTGGCTCGGCTACACTGCTTACCACTGACAAGTTAAAAACACTGCCCCCACTTTGGACAAAGCTGTGCTGATGCAAATACCCTTTCTTAGGCTTTTTAAAGTTCCAAATGCTGGGGGGTTATTCCTGAAAAATTCCAACGTAGGTAAAAAAACGCTGAAGAGACGGTGACAGCCGTGACATCTTCATCTTTGGTCTGCTAAAACAGTGTGCAAGAAAACTCACAAAGCATTTCAGAATCGGTGCTGCTAGAAGCTTTTCATGAAGTTATAACTTATCTTTCTACTAGGAAAACAGTCCTTAGTAGAATGCCAGTATTTGTTGCTGCTCTTTCAAATACCTCCTCTCCGTCTTAAAAATTGAAGAGGGGGACTCCGGGCTATAGTGACACTTACCCACCAGCCTGTAATCCAAGATGGAGTTTGTTCCCTCAGTGCAGGTTTGGGACCTGCAAGCCAAGGGCTCAGGACAGCACAAGCCAATCCACCTCAGCAATCCTACAACCACCATATCCGTCTCCCACACAATCCCACCATTTCTCCTCTGCCCTGCCAGCACCTGTCTGACACGCCGTTGAACCAACTCAGGGCACCACGTCAGCAGAAAACGTTCACTTTTCACTGCTGGGTGGCGTCCCGCTGGCTCAGCCAGCTCAACTGGCCCAGCGATGTGTCAAGCAAGAGCTCGTGCCAGCACCAGGGAGCAGCAGGATCACAGGACTACAGATGCGCCGATTCTCGTCGGCCAAGCCTGCTGTCGAACCAGACTCAGCCAGCAGTTCTCCTGCTAAGCTTTGACAGCAGTAAGAACAATTTAAGGGTCACAAAAATTTTATGACAAACACACTAACAGTTATAGACAAGATGCAATTTGAAGTGGCCACTTGCATCTGCTTCTGCATTACTTTGGCTTTGCATTCGTTCCCTGCAGATTATTCCCTTTGGGCTCCACGCTCTTCTGTTTTTCTCCATTTATTCTGCATTATCCTGTTTTACCTCAATGATAAAAGTTCCCCTTACCTTGAGTTTAATACAAATGGCTCAACCTGTGCATGATTCAGAAACAAGGTTGTACCTTTAAAAACTGATACACATCCATAACACTAAAAAAAATTATCCTCATTGATCAGCATATGCCCTGGAATAACGAGGGCTGCCAATAGGGTTTTTTTTTTCCCCTCTAAACAATACTTTTGCCTACTACCTGCATAGAAACACACAGACACAGAAGTTACAGCTTAAGACACTGTCTGGATTAACAAGGTGCCGTACGTGAAAGCTTCTCAGCACCACTGTTCTAAATCGGGATGTAGAGTCAGCATTATCACCGTTGCCTTCCCACTTACCGGTTACTCAGCATGCACTCTTGGACCTAATTTTCAGGGCTGTAACTAATTCATTGAGATTTCAGGGGAGTTTGTGGCTGCAGACTGTCCTAAAAATACCCCTAGTCTCAAGATTGAGGGGGCAATGAAGACCAGAAGCCACGGGAATTACAGTAAGCTACCACGCCTAGACCAAAACTTGATGCCAAACAGAACTCAGCTTCCATCAGAAATGACACTCATTCCACGTGATGAAGATAGCACAGCCAGGGCAGGTAAAAAACCCCAATCGTAAGACTCAAACGATTTCCCACACTTTTGATTTAAGGTGTCATTTTTTCTATAATAGCATCACTGGAATCTAAAAAGTGCTTTCATTATATTAATCAAGGAACACAAAAGTATTTGCTACTTTATGACTTGGATCTACACTGAAGTCTGTTGTAATCATTTTGTCATGTGTCTCTACCCATAAATTTATCTGTACCATCTCTGCTGGAATTCTGCTGCTAGTCTGAGCAAAGACATGGTACTCACGCTGAGGTAATGGCACGGTATCGTTCCTGTCCTGCAGTATCCCAGATCTGTGCTTTTATCGTCTTCCCGTCCACCTGGATGCTCCTGGTGGCAAATTCCACCCCAATGGTGCTCTTGCTCTCCAGATTGAACTCATTACGTGTGAAACGTGACAGAAGATTACTCTTTCCAACTCCAGAGTCTCCAATTAACACAACTGAAAGAAAAGACAGTATTTTCCAAATTAATTCTTCATATCAGCATTCACACAGTGCAGTGGTGCTACCTGGCTGCGATGCTGCTTTGCAGGCAGGACCCAGAGGAGTTGCACAGCCAGACAAACACAGGAGAAAGTTACGCTGACAACACCTCAGACTTTACTACTCACAGCTTGCTTCCCCAGCCCCGAAACAGCCCCAAGCCTTTGTGCTGCTAGCAGCTGCTCAGTTCCTCAGAGACAGAAATTGCTACAGCGACTGTCAACAGCTAAACATGGCTTTGGAGGCCTCAAGCCACCGCCAGTAATTACAGGTAACTGGATGTCTCGTGCACACTCGACCTTTTGCAGAAGGCGGCTGCAACCCACATTTTAAGAAACACTACAGTCAAGAACATGACAACAGGCTACCTGTCTGCCTGGCAAAAGCCTGTGTACAATATAAGCCTACCCTGTTTTTATTTTTAAAAAAACCCCAACAAATACAGTAAATAAACAATTATTTGCAGTCCCTTTTAGGGTATTACAGGGTGTTTTATTTCAATAATTTAATTCATAAATAAGTTCACCACAAAAAGGGGGAAACAGGAGACACTTGATACTACAAACAAGATAGGAAGCAAAGCAGAACTTCATCTGGCAAGTTGAGTTCTAGTAGATTGCATGAGAAGTAAAAGAAGAGCTAAAAATCTGCCTCCACACGAGGTGTTGCCATGTTAACAGAAAAATGTTAGTGTAGAGAGATCTTTAGCACACAAACCCCAGCTTTACTGAAAGGAATCGTGGAAAAAAAAAAAAAAGATACATCTTGCAGTAGGAGTTTCCCTCTACTCTGGGGCTGAAGATTTCTGCTAATCCCAGGCACACCTCTGCCAGCCCTGCTCAAGCAGGCTGCTGCTTCATACCCAGCCACGCTAGACCGGGCTCTCCACGAGACCTTCTCGTCAACAACTCAACCAAGATTTGTCACACGAGGTTCTTCCCTATGCAGCTAATGCAACCACACACATTTTCTTAAATCCCCGTATTACTGACTAGAGCAAGAAATAACTAAAGGGAAACAAGGCTAAAAGCAACAAAGCCATCCTCCCTTAGCCTGAGCAAATCCTGACCATACGTGACTCTGATATTCAAGCTAACAGCACCCTGGCTGAACAGAAGGAAGAAAGGCCGCCTCAGTGAGGCTTCTTCAACCTTGGGAATATTTCCTGCTTTGGTTCAAAGTACAGATTTGTGCTCTTCCTCATCCATATGATCCGTTTTTCATATAGAAAAGCAGGCATGGGCAGAAAACATTCCTGATCCCTCCACACCAAATTACAGAAGACTCTTCTCATTCCACACTTCCAGAATGAGCTCACCAGGGTTCTCCCAGGGCCAAGGACTACAATCGCCTTTTAGTGTTATTACAGCTTCTTTCTGCCCAGGTCATTGTTTCAGGCTACAGCTCTGGCAGCACACTGCCCCAGCTCGCGTACCTCCCCACCCCTGCTAGCACAGTCCCCAACTCCTGCCGCAGCCCTCTTGCTCTGCTGCGACAGCGCCTGAGCTGCGCGGGGAGAGCGCTGAAACGCTCCGGACTCCCCCCGGCAGCATTTCATCCGGCTGACGGCACAGACAGACAGACAATTGTGCTAGCACAGCTGAACGGTCGAAATACAACAGAGGCAGGAATGGGCAGCCAGTGGATCATGGCAAGGCGCCACAACTCCCCACCCAGATAGCCTAAATCAGGGCCTCACACTGCTCTGCCTGCACTGGCAAAGAGTCTAAACAATTTTTTAGGGTATGAGAACAGATACATAAAAAAAGATTTTATTATGAGTTCTAACTCTAGGATTTTGTTAGCTTTGTTTTCCAGACAAACAGTTTTTCATCACTAATTCCACAGGGTGTTCCAAGAATGGGCCAAAGGACACCCATCTTGCGCAGTGACCTGCTGGCTTGGAGGACGCTGTACTCTACAGCAAATCCCCGACCAGAACCAGAAGGAGGTAAGAACCTCCACCACCCAAACTAGACCAGCCTGGAAAAACCCTGAAGCTTCCAAACATTTCTGAAGGGACTTACCTCCTCGTGAATCTGCAGGTTCTAGCCACCTCCCATCCTCTGGCATTTGAAAATTACCAGCTTTACACAAACCACGCGAATGGCTCTCAGGTCATTAACTCCATCTGTCACAGGAAGAACATTCAGAGGGTCCTGCGCTACCGCAGCTGGTTACTCACCTCTGCTGCAACCTGGCAGCAAAGCACCAGGCTCCCCTTTACTGGGCTGCTCCACGTTCCAGCAGAGCTTATAAAAGAGCATTTTTGAGAAGTTACTGGATGCAGAAGTAACAAAGGACGGCAACCAGATCCCAACTCAGTAAATAATACCTTGAGCATTAAACCAGCATTTTCGTTTTCAGGAGAAAGACGCAAAGACTGGAAGCCCCCATGCAGACAGAATCCACAAACTTTTATTTTCTATTGCAACTGAGCAAGGAGACAGTCCAGAACCTTGAAGGTAAGTGATTAGATCTTGGGAAAGTTCCCAAATTTGGGAACAGGGCATCTGACAGCACTGCCTGTTCAAATGCAGAAGTCTCAACAGAGTAGAAAAGAAAGTTCCAAATCAGATTTAAGAGCCTGAATACTCCCTAAACACATCTCCCCAGACTCGATGAAGCCTTGAGGGCCGCACTGGTAACGGAAAGATGCTTAACCTGGCAGTGACCTGAACCGATAACCGGCACCAACCACCACCAGACGGCTGTGAGCACACAAGCCAGCCACGCTCAGTGCCACACACACACCCTGAAGCACGGGGCGGCTCCCTCACCCTTTCCCGATTTCCTCTCTGTACCACATCACCGTGCCCGTCGGCGGGTTCCTGCTCACCACGTTACCCGTCCGTCAACGGCAAAGCATTTGGATCTCAGGCACCATCATCGCTCCGCTTCCCACATCTTGTTGGGCCTCACGACACACACACCTACAGCCGCCCGAGCAGAACACAATCCCACCACCCCGGACACCTGCCTCACACCTCGGGATGCTGGTACAAAGCAAGCGAAAGACAGAACGAAGAATCCAGGGCAATACATTGTGGGTAAGAAAAAGAAAAAAACCAGGACCAAGTTCATGGCAGAATTTTAGATACACTGGTTCATTAATCTGGCAAAAAGAATATATTCTTTTGAACAACCAAGAAGATTAAGACTCTCTCTTGCAGAGACCACATAAGCAGAGTTCATTATAAATATTAAGTACATAAGGTTGCCAGATATTGATGACTAATGAGACATGCATTTGTTTTTAATAAGCACAGCCTTTGTTAGGCTTAAGCTCTAATCAGAGCAGTCTAAATTCCCACAAAGGTAAAACAAAGCTCTTTTTGCTAAGGGTGGTTTTTCCTTCCTTTTTCATGAGCCAGCACACATCTGCACAACCTCAAATTTAATTTTTAAAATAAACACTGATAATAGCTAATCTTCTTCAGAGGAAAATTAATGTGCAGATCACATTTTAATAGGTACAAGGCTTCCAATATTTTAACAACTATTAAAGGTCACGAATTCAATTCCAGATCCAGCCCATTCAAAACTCATCACGAACAGTTCTTGCTTTTTAACCATCCCAGCGACAAAACTAATTGGGAACAGAGCCCTGAACCACTGGCTTTGCTTGGGTTACATCACTGAAACACATCCACAAGATCCTCACAGCCCCATTATTCTGTGCAGCTCTGCGCACAGAATTCAGCTTGTTCTCCCAAAGGTTGGCTCAGTCATTTTGTTAACAAACAACATTTTGTTGTGATCAATAAAATGAGCGGTTCTGACTGTTGGGATGCAAACAGAAGAAAGGGAAATTGGGAATACAGATAAAGAGGCATTAGTTTAGCAGAGCAGCTTTGACTATAACCACACTCGCATCCCCAGAGTGCCACCAAACCTTAAATTAGTTTTTGCCTACTGTGTGCTAGACCTGATAAGCCAATAACGCTCCTCTCTCCTGCAGCCCCGTTGAAATGACCGGTCCTGAAGCACAAGCTGACACACGACAGGAACAAGGGAACAGGCAGAACAGCGAGCCAGTTACGCACAGAACCGGCTGCTACAAACTCCTGGGCCATTTTCACCCCTGAACGCCTGTTTTACAGGCAATATTTGACGCGAAAGAGACAAACAACAAATGGGGCTCTTTGCCTTTTGAACTTTTCACAAAGCTGATTAATATGATCCATGCTAAACAGCAAAAGTTCCTATACAAGCAGTTCCAGATCTTCCACTACACAGAAAAGTAAAAACTGTGACTTTAAAGCAACACTGCATTCAACTGGAGTCATCCTAAATAATATTACAATGCAAGGATGCAAATTGCTTAAACAAGCGCAACTATAAAAGCTAAAATCAGAGTTCACCCAATCTTCCTCTAGAAATAGGTGATAGGGGAAGTGGTCAAACCCTAAATTTACTTTAAAAAATTTTCCCAGGCTGCAACCTTCCTCCACCATTATTTCTACCTCTGACCCCTACACATGCCTGACAGAAGAGAGTTCACAAGCCACCTACGTAGCTCGGAAGGGGCTAAACCAGAAGTCAATCAAACCCCTGGGCGCTATTTTTTTCAAGATGTCAATTCCCTTTGGTATTTAATTTTGCTATTGCAGGGGGCAGAAGGGAAAGGAAGGGGAGATGGTCCTACAGCGGAGACCTCGTCCCACTTACGCTCATTATTTCTTGCCTAGTCCCAAAAAGCCTATAAGGACGGAAGGAAAAGATGAGTAGATAGAGAAGGGGTTTTTTTTTGTGGATTTGTTTTTATTAAAAAAAAAAAACTACCACCACATTCACAGAACTACAGAACTACCCCTACCCAAAGGACACACAAAAAAGGACAATTCTCTCCCCCGTGCATCACTAAGCGTCACGAAGCACACCAAGCTACTTTGCAGTATCAACACAACAGCATGGTTCCTGACCAAATAGCTTTAGGTTAAGTTTCACTCCAGACAAAATTAAAAATGCATTTCAAAGCAGCATAAGC